TAGTACCGAAAATCCTGCCACCGTGGGGACTAGAACTTGGGACCTCCGGGTCAGAGGACTAGTGACGTCAGCCCCTGAGCCATCCCTCCCGGTACCGACGTGCAAGGGTCTTCAACTTTTGCCAAATAACATTTCACGGACAAATAAATGGCTTCACCAGTTGACAACCTCGCATTAAAGTCTACAAGGCTGTCACAGAAATTAGTATTGTCACACAAATTTTCTAACTATACTCAACATGCATAGATTTAGCATGCTATGCCGTGGAAAAATCTGTGTTCAATATTTAAACACTTCTAATTACTGTCTTAACGGCTATCAACCAAGCGAACCTAATAATATTTATCTTGAATCTTCATATGAAAGTATCAAGGGAGCCGAGAAGCAATTTTGGAATCACATGCTTAATGAAATGAAAATGCAGCGACATTTTATGTGTGAAATTTAGAAGTTACTGTTGTGCCAACAAGCCAATTGGTTTCTTTTAGTATTTATTTTAATGTTGTGTCTATTGTAGCCTGATGGCAGGGATCAATGATAGGATATCTCCGAAACGTCGCCAAATAACTTCCTCAAGATCTGATAATATTTTATAATTAACACATCTGCATGCAGAAAATTTTACATCTAAGCAGGTCTGAAAACCTTATGGCCATATGATTGTGGTTAGAGATAAAGTTGTTTACACTGCAGCTGGGTATAACGCGGTGGTAGTTATTACATAAATAAGGTACAGTAATAACACGTAAAAATATAATTTTAATGGTAAAAATAATAAAATGGAAAACTAATAATATTAAATGTTATGATAATAATAGTAAATAATGGTAATAAGAATACTTGACAGACCAAGAAAAGCGAACACACATTTTTCTTTAAACGGACTACTGGCTGGAATGTGGCCATTAATTTTGTCAACAGTCGTTTGGTTGTATTTTGCAAGTGTGGTCCATCACATTTTTCTATTGGTCGCCATCTCATTGAAATACCTAGTTTTAATGTTCCCAGCTCCCTTCCTCCTCCCCCGCCCGCTCCTTTATGCGTTGATCTTTTAGATATTGATCTTCTGAATCTCCCGCCGCCCGCCTTCGCCCCACCTCCCGTTCCGCTCAGCGCCGGTCCTCTGCTCGGCCTTCATCCAGCCCCGCTGCCCCTCTGCTTTCAGCGCACTTGCGTAGTCCGCGTCTCCAAACCGTTTCGTGTCCGCCTCCGCCCCTCCCCCTCTCCCCCTCAATCTTCGCTGCTATACTCGCCTCCGCACCGGGAATCTTGACACACTGAGTTTCCCTGTTTTTGTTAAACAACTAAAGCATATATGTAAACTTGGAATTGGCGTATTTAAGAAGAAATACCTTGCTTATTACTCAAGGAAACTCGTGATACGGCGTATGTGGCATTATGATGTAAAATGCAGTGTTAATGTCTACGCTTGATTGGCAACTCAGGAATGTTCTGTACGACATAATTAACCGTCCCTGGCGCCTGGCCGCCCCGTAGCTGTCTCGTCCTCGTCACTCAGGCAGCTGTGCTATTTTCTCTTTCTCTTCTCTCTCCCTCCCTCTCCCTCCCTCCCTCTCTCTCTCTCTCTCTCTCTCTCTCTCTCTCTCTCTCTCTCTCCCCCTCTCCCCACTCCGTGAAGCGCCTCTCCACGCCGCCAGTCAGTAGTCCCCAGACCATTCGTTCCGCCCCCGCCCTCGCTCGCCCTTGGGCGCCAAATCGCCCCGCGCCGCCCGCCTCCTGCCCTGCCCTGCGCTCCGCCCACCCGGGCGCAGCTTCCGGGAGGAGGCGTGCTTCTACACTACGCCGTCGCAACTGGTAAAAGCCCGGAGCCCTTGTCAATCAACCCCGTGCTGCCATCGTTCTTCGTCGTCTACTGCCTTCTCTTTGATTCATTGATTGTTTCGGGTTTCTGAGCACGTCAGCTGCAATGGTCATTAGTCCCATAAATGTAGGTGTTTAACAGGTGTCGGTGAATCTCGAGAGGTGGTGGTGTTCCTCTCCCGCCAGAAAGTGAGTTTCGGAAACGACCTACGAGCTGGGGTGGAGACACGTCGTTTGATTGATTGAATAGTGATTCCGGGCGCGACAACTGCGAAGGTCATTACTTCCGTTAGTGTAGTGCACGGTTTTGCTCTGGATGTGTAAGTGATCTTCCCCCGCTAGATCTGACAGTGGGGAGATCCGGCGCAGACCTACTGTCGGCTAGCAGGTGTTTCCCCAACTAGGTATCTCCAACCAGCGGGGTACCTCCCCAAGCAGGACAAATTAAGCTCCCGTCCCTTCTCCCGACATGTGAGGTAGTGAAATCCATGCGAGTGTATGTGAGTGCAAGTAAGGGATAGGTAGGAATGGGAAGGAAAGACGGAGTGTGGTCCGTGGCCCGTTCGTTAGGGTACTGCTCCGCAATCGTCTGGTGCTCATTTGAGAACACACGGAAAACTACCGATCAGAGCAGATTGGATTTCACCTCCAGTCAGCGACTGAATTTCATCTAGCTGACAAACTACTGTCGAAAATTCTTCAACCGTCGGGACTCAGTTCTAGGATTTTCTGGTCAGAGGCGCTGTAGTGACATCAGTTGATGCCCAGAGCCACCACTCCCGACCGGGGCCAAACGGATAGTCTGGGAACCCCGCACTTCACTTGTCATCTATTCCAACCCTAGGGCCAACGCAGCGCAACAGGACTCTTTAAGGCCATTCATAAGGGGTTTCATTTTTTTAAATCGAACTGGTGTGGATATATTAAATAAAACAGCAATATAATAATAATAATAATAATAATAATAATAATAATTTTCATACACAAATATTCAGTTTAAATAAATAGGCTTTCCTTGCCAACAAAGACCCTGCCTTAGGTTAGATAAATTAAAATTTAACATATATAAAAACATTTACATTAACAAAAATAAAAACATTTGCTCGTACAGTATTAGTTATCATGTTACAAAACTTAACTTGTGTACTATTATAATACCCTATAACGTGTTGATGTTATTTGTTAAATTATAGCGAAGTCGTGGCGTTAGATTTATTTGTTGCAGCCTTCCTCGAATTTCCCTCCCAAAACCTCGTCAGCCACGCGTTGGGCGATTCGTGTCACGTGAAAGACGCCATTCGGGGGAAGCCCCTTGTTCACATGAGCCACATGTTGCACATAGGTTCCCCCTCTACTGCAAGGCGTGGAGGGGGAAGGGCATTCGTGCACAGTGCACCATCGTGCCATCGTGCACAGTGGTTCACATTAAAACCGTAGGACTTAAAAAGGGGGGAGGGTAAATCTCGTACGTGTTCGGAAAATCAAACGGTTTTGTTCCTGATTTGTGCATGTCGTGTTTTACACTACGTGGGCGCCAATTTTTAATCGTATGGCTTATTGCATCCTTTATTGAATGCAATCTTAATCTTCACAACTTACAGAATACTCGGTACACTTTTATATCTGCAAAAAGACGATCTGGATGTGGTCAAACAATGAACCATTTACTTCCAACAACCTTGCGAGTCTTGCGTATCACGGGAAAACTCATCTTTTATGCCGCAGCTGAACGGTGTCCTGATTAGAAATTATATTTTCCTGCACCTATGCCGAAGCATTTCTCAGGACATTCAATTTTTAACTTCACATTAAAAAAAAAAAAACTTAGGCCATAAGAAACATGTAAATTGGAATGATTGTCTTCGTGATGACATTAATTGATAAGATTTTAATTGATACTTTAATTGAGAACATTTTTTTAAAAACAAGATAGAATAAAGAAAAGTAGCAAAGGTATTACAAAGCAAATAATTGAAACAATAAGGATTTTGAATAAAGATATAAATTATAATAAATGTTTTCGAGATGATACTTTTTTATCAACATTCCTTACAATTTTTGAAAGGAAATTTTTCTCTTCAAAGTGCGTTCCGAAGTCATGTTGTATTGAATATATAATAGACTATAAGAAATGGCATCCGCCTTTTCATCGGCACATAGTTTTCACCGACCGAAGGAATGCAGTCAGGCATGCAGTCCAGTTAATTTAAAGAATTGTATTCCTTGACCGGGAAACCATTTTATATTTTTATTAATTCACACGATCGATATAACGAAACGCGTATGACACCCTTTTAAATAAGAATTCCATCTGAAGTCGATGGCTTCCGCGGCCGAAGTCACGTGAATGATCTTGGCTGTCCGGGTGACGCCGCGTCGAAGGCAGTGTTGCCGACGTTGCGACCATCTTAGCGTGGTCTTCTTCTGGGCTTCAGACAAGCGTCACCTGGACAGCCAAGATCATTCACTTATAATTCCAATTGTCTTTGGAAATTTTTATTAACTATTCAGCCGCTTATGCGGAATGGGTTTGTTATCCACTCGGATTCATCATTTCCGCGCTGTCTTCCCGTAAGCGCTGTGCGAACGCCGGAGCAGGGCGTGAAGGACGCGCCGCTCGCGATCATCCCTTTCCGACCAACCCTCAGGACCATCGCTGGTGGTCACTAGGAAGTCTCTGACGGAAATTGCCGGGAGTATGTGGATTGTAGGCGCAACCCAGATTTACCGGGCGAGAACGTGACGTGCACTGAAAAGAACGGGAAGAAGAGAGGGCAAGTTGGTGCGAGAGTGAGAGAGTGACACAGGGCAAGCAAGAGAGATGAGAGGGAGGGTGGGAAGGAGAGGGAACGTACGTGATATTGGAGATGGTAAGAGAGAGAGAGAAGGGAGAATGGAAAGAGGGAGAATGAATGATAGAGAGAGAGAGAATGGAGGATGGAAAAAGGGGGAGAGTGGAGAGAAAGGAAGATGGAAAGAGGGAGATAATAGGTGTGAGAAGGAAGAGAAGGGGGAGAGAAAGGGAGAGATGTCAGGGTGAGGGGATGAGACGGAGATGTGAGACAAGCGAGCGAGAGAAAATGCGGGAGATACGTTGTCGGTGAGAGAGACAGACTGGGCAGGCTCATTGAGGAACGAAAGCGGGTAGAGCGAGAGGGGAGAGGTGAACGAGTAGTCGCATGCGCGTGCAGGCGCTCGTGCTGGGCGCCTGGCCCACTGCCTGCCGCGTGCGCCGCGTGGGTACGAGAGCCTCTGACTGGGCCTCTGTCCGCGTGCAGCAGCAGCGTGGGGACCGTGACCAATCGGCGATGGCTCATGCGTACGACGTCGCAACAGCCAGCGCAATCATCAGTGTGTCAGTGACTCCGCGTAGCGCTGTGCACTCGTTCGTGACTCTGCAACTAGGGACTGTGACTCGAACGTGGATGTGCGTTTCCCACGTGTTCAGGTGCTCTGTAACAATGGACGTGAGTAGGAACGGTAGCGCCGGTGCGTGGCACGTGAACGTAGGCGACAGCGCCGATGTGTTGGGACGTTCGCTACCGTCGGCGCGTGGAACGTCGCACGGGAACGTGTTCTGGTACGGAGGAAGGAATTCGAACGTGGATGGCGACGTCGATGTGTTTGGAAACGCCTCTGTGTGGAAGAGTGACTTGATGTGGAACAGCGACGCGTTCATATCACCGTACGTTCGGTCTCTGCTGGGCGTGCTTGACCAATCTCCCAGCGTGAGTATATTTCAGGCCTTTACCACATGCTACAGCCACCAAATCAATTGCAAACAATAAACAATTAGTTATTAAACTCTTGCCTCTCTTCGTGGTCATTACGCAGTACAAACAAGATGCAAGACATCTGACTTGTCTTAGTCTTCGGTGTGTTTTTTATTGCCAGAGAAAAGTGGACTTGTCTTAGAAAACAACCTAACTTTTCTACCAAATATATGGTCAGTGTCTTTCTAAAAATATACCGACTTAATAAATTGAAAACACTTGTTTTTAAAGCAATGTAATACGCCTCACGTAAAGCAACTATAATCCCCCTCAATAATTGAATTGTGTATTTTGATGAACAGTCATCAAATATAACAATTATTCCATGGGTTAATGTTTCGGTGAATATCCAGATTTTCAATAAGTGTAGATTCTTCCACTTCCGACTAGCTGCGTTTCTAATCGTCATTTTTTGCAGTAGCGAATAGTGGTGCTGCTTTGTTCTTTTCTATCAAAATATTTAATTAGCTCTAATTAATATTTTTGTAATCAATGGGGTCTTGCGACCCCGCCCTGGTATAGCCTCAATACTACACACATCTACAAATCCTAAAGAACCACTTTGTTTAGTCCCTTATCTTTTAACGAAAGCAAGTTAAAATTATTAACATAACTTCAGTAATTAAATGGTTATATGTCATCGAGGGCGTCTTTTTATTTTATATCCAAAGGTTGTGTTTAATGTTAATTTGCATTAAAAGATAAAAGGATTAGTGTTCAGTTTCATCAATTATGTTAAAAGTAAGCAATTTTATATAAAGCTTTTTGTCAAGGTCTAAGAATGTCGAGTTCGGTCAATCGGAATGGCATCAAGGAAGCTCAGCGCGCAATAGATCTGTCATGTTACGTCTTCCGATCATTCCCATGTTGCAAAAAAAAAATTGTTTTTGACTAAATATCGTTTCTAAATAGCTCGTGAACAAAGAGTACAACACGCTTTTTCTGCAGGAAGGCTGTAGGTGGGGGTTCATGTATACGGGGTGAGGCTTTTGATATCTTTCTTTTTTATACGTACTAAAGTTGTCAGCTACTATTGTGAACATTCAAAAATTTCGAAAATACGCGTACTTAACCAAGTTAACTTGTTTGAAGACCGTGTTGAGCCTTCAGTTGTCAGTCCCTACATTTTATATAAAACACTTCAGAAATGTCCATCTCAAAATTCTCAACGGATTTTCATGGCCAAAATAGATTATATTGCACCCTTCCCAAATCTTATTAAATCGGCAGTGAAAAGGGTAAAGTAAGCATTAACCATTTTTTTGTTTTTACATTAGGCAAACGACTTTGTTAGCAACACATATTTTTGTGGTTGTCTCCCACGTTCTTGCAGTAAATTCAAAATCCTAACTTTAAAATGATTTTACCGGTAACAAAAATTCCAAACATGACCATGTAATTTTGAACTTCCGCGCAAATGCGACAACAGGTAACAATTGTCCATTGTCTCTTCACGATCCTGAAAGTCCGTAGCAAACTATGACTGAATTTAAGAGTTTTGCCCATGTACCTTCTTTGGATTTTCCACCTAAATGGAGTAAATCTTTTTATTAAAATATCCCTTTAATTCTTATTAAAATATCCCTTACTATTTACAATAGTAAGTAGTAAGAAAATGTAATTTATTCGGACAAATTATCAATATACAGCATATCACAGCAATACTTACTTTGAGGCTATTCAGAAGTGTTTACTTGATTTTTCTTTCAACATTGTATGTTAACCACGTTAATTAAAATTTGATTGAGAGTTTAACTCTTGTAGAGGTTTGATGCATTGCTGTCATAGCAACAAATTCTGATTGGAAACATTCAGATACTCAGGTAGAAAATATATTATTGAACTCTTTAATACTACCGGAATGTGTTGTGGTACATCCAATGTTACGTGCTCTTAGTGATATATTCACGGTGTTGGCCAGAACCATCCTTTAACATTCTTAAAAATGAACATTTGATTTCAAAATGAAATTGATGAAAATTATTACATCAGGTAAATAGGACATTTCTTTGTTGAGGCGCACCTACCCGGAATTATTGTATTATGACTTCACGATATTCATTACTCATTCAGGAAATTCATTTCTGTATGGTGCGAGCGTCTCTTGAGGGACGCGGGGTCACGTCCCCTCAAGTTTTTAAAAGTATCCAGAATTTAAAAAGAAAGGTATTTTTTACCAAAGACCCCTTTAGTATTACGTGATGAAAGAGTACCCCAGGATAAGGTAGTAAAAAGTTTTCTAAAATCAAACAACATATTTTATTTCTAACTATGATTCTCAACATAAAAATACTATTTTTGAAAGATTTCTTATCCTCCCCCTACTCTTGCAGCTCACTACTGTCAAAAGTGTTTTTTAAAATCTTTTTTATTGGCACATTTACTTTACTAATTGAAAAACGTAACGAAAATTACAAAATAATATACACTATGAAATATAAATTATTTAAAATTATTTTTCGACCCTAAATTCAAACTTTTTTTTTGAAAAAAAAAAAAATATAATTTGTACAATGTCTTGGTATGTGGAAAATGGCAAGAAAAGTTCTCAAACTACCGGACATTGAGAGAATTTTAAAAGTTTATTTTCTACTGGACCATACATAAAAAATTGTATCGGGCGGTATTATAGGCTCGGTACAGCGCGAGAGAAAACAATCGAATATTACTCATCGAGATTAAAATGCACGGAAAATCAAATTGCCCCTTTTCTATCTTGCAAGATAGTTTCAATATTTTTCCTTGAATTTCTTTTATTATATGGGTGCACTTTTCTGTACACCCATTCATTGGAGTGGGGGTACTCAAAATAACTACTTTTCAAAATTCTAAAAGAAAGTTGGTATTTTATAAAGTTTCTGTATTTCGTACGTTTGTTGTTTTTCGTCTTTGTGCATATGTGTTTGTTCAAATGGACATATTTTTATGAGATAAGACATTATTTTTAAAACATTTAAGTTGGAGGTTTTAAAAAGTCAGTGGCTCGTGTTTGAGCTGCCGAACATTTTTGCACCTCTGGTTGAATAACATATATTACCGAGAAAATATATTACGTTGTACATTGTTTTAATTAACATGAAAAACACATTGCAATACAATACAATACTAAACAGTATTGTATTGTATATACTAAACAGTACAATACTGTGAACAATAGGAAGAAGTGCAATCTGTATTATTCTGGAGCTGTGGAAACCCTTGCCCAGCATTTACACGAATTAAGTTGAATTGTCTTATTTACACGACTTCAAGAGATTTCTTTTCCCTCTTTCGAAAAATACAGGAACCTTTTTGTATTCGCAGATTAAGCCTAGTCGGTTAAGGTTTAATTTTCATGTAATTGCCACGCCTATTTTATTGTCTACAAATTTGATTAAATTCTCAACAAAGATGTTCAACACATACAAAGATATTTACAAAAAACTAATTTAGTCATCTTTACGTTCTCAAAACCACTCTTCGAAAAAAAAATTTAGAAGTAGTCTGGAGAGAAATTGTGTAGTCCTAAAATCTTGTAACAAGTTATTCAGCACAAAATGCATAGGAACCGAGATATTTGAGAAAAGACTATTTTTTGCGGCTTTTCATTTCGAATAATTTCGAACGCACACGTGTTATTGATTCAAACTTTCCACCCATTTATAGAATTTGAAGACTAATGTCTCGGGGGGGGGGATCAGTTCAAGAATTTGTGAATCTGACGTACTATGTTGACTGGACCATCAGAGTTTAGCAACAAATACACGAATAGCCGGGACATGACTTTTTTAATCTATTGACGTGCACCTTCGAATTGGAGTGGAAAGGTATTGAAACTCTGTAACCGTTTGTTATGTCATTTTAGTTATTTTATTAGTGATCTTTGCTATTTACCAGTTAGTTTGGAGAGTCAACTGTATTATTTCTGTACGTGTTGGGAGCATCGTGACAACCAGTTTTCAACGTGTCTTATCGCTAGTTTGTCTGGAAATACAGCTTATTCGGCTAGGTTTACTTCGTAGAAATACTCTCGTGTTGAGCATATAAGCCAACCTCGATCTGAGGTGCCTCAAAATTCGATTAGCCCTTTTATCAATTCGCATCTTCATGACTTCCGAATTTGCGAGTGATTTTAAAGTGAGTGGGCGATTTACAATCCAGTATTCCAAACAACAAATGCAATAAAAACTGTTTTACAATATACTGAACGACTTGGTTTCATTTTGGAGAATAAAAAAAAATGAATATTGTCTTTTCAATACAAATCCCGGATTACATGGCTGCGTTCAGCATATACAATTCAGACGGGTAAAATATCGAAGGACGACATTATTTGAATGTTGATTGTATCCATATCATGAGGCAAACTAAGGAAAATAATTTTATTCCAGAGTATTTAGAAAAAGGAATAGATTTATTTCTTGTTGGTTGTACATAAGGTATTTGCTATAATTGATTTAGTATTTACTGGTAGAACATCTTTTTTTATTCATTTTAATATTTCGATATTCAGTTATGTATAATTCATATTAATATAACTGATATTCAGTCTACATTAAAACAGTTACAGTAAAACGAAAAGAAAGAAAAAAGAAAATTTATGTTCATCTCTATTTAATTGGCTATTGAAGTGTTTATGAATATTTCCGTCTTTTATGGACTTATTAATTTTATATAAATGGGATTTGAGAGCCTAAAAATCTGAAGTCTACTTGTCAATAAAAATGGGGACTTTTATGAATATACTGTATGTCATACTACCAATGTGTGTGTGTACCAATAATGAAGTGAGAGGCTTCCGTGAAGGCGTTCAGCGCATCGGCGTCGCGTCGCGTCGCGCTGGGCGTTGAGACGCTCTCGCGTCCGCTTCCGTCGCCTCTTCGCTGGCGCCCGCGCACGTGCTCCCGCCCCACAGAGCGGAAGCCCCCCCCCCCGGCCCCCCGAGTAGTGATGCGACATCGCTGACAAAACATCGATGTTAGCAAACCTCGATGTTCAAAATACATCGACTAAATCCATCGGTGTCTTAGACTGGATTAACCTCTAACATTAAATTCGTGTATCCCCTTGAATCTCTCTCTAATAATTGCTTAACGATTGCGACAAGCCCCTCCCCCCCACATCCAATAGATAAATTTGTTCAGTAATCAATTGATGTACACAGTCATTGCAAAAGAGTGTTAATACAGAATTATTTTCTAACGTTCACGGGATGATTTTGAGTCCAAATTTCACAGTTTGTCTTGTTAGTTTTTTCTGAGTTCTGAATGCAAATGTTGTGCTATTTTAGATATATATCAATTCTCGTGGCATTTCTATTAGTATTGATCTCAACATAGACCAAGAGCAAATACTATGATCCAACCTTCGGACTGCAATTCTTGTTCCTTGCGAGGGGAAGTATCAGTAACGTTTTATCCTCCTGGAAGTTTAGATTGTGTCGTCGGAAATGCAGGTTATCGCAAGGTCTCCGTGGCCTCTGCTTGTCAATAGGCGTGTAACCAAGGAGGGCGCGGAAGCTTTCCGCCCCCCGAGACACCCGCGAAGCGAAGTAAATGTCTGAGAAATAACTGCATGACTGCAATCATTTGACGTGTAATGGAATTTGTAGATAAAACATGAATGAAAAGTTATGAGAATATTAGGACTAAAACATTCTCATACAAACCTATTCATTACACAATTGATTCTGGTCGAAATTCCCTCACGCGACCCCTCCCTAAACGAGAGAAGTCGCTCAATGTGTCAACTGATGTCCTGCAGTGCCTCTGACTGGGATATCCTATGTTCGAATTCCGACGGTGGAAGGTTTTTCGACATTAACTTGGCAGCTAGTACGAATTTATTTGCTGTTTGGAGGAGAATTGTAGCGGCCAGCTGCTATAATCAGTAGTTTTCCGTCGTTTCTCCGATAAACACAAGGCGAATGCCAGAGCTGCTCCTAAGAAATAAGAGCCACGTACCGGGCGATCTTTTCTTCCCCTTGTCAAATCCTGACCCCTTACATTCTCTCTCTGCTCCTGCTCTTCTCTCTTCTCTCTTCTCTCTTCTCTCTTCTCTCTTCTCTCCTCTCTCTCTCTCCTCTCTCCTCTCTCCTCCCTCCTCTCTCCTCTTCTCTCTTCTCTCTTCTCTCCTCTCTCTTCTCTCCTCTCTCTTCTCTCTTCTCTCTTCTCTTCTCTCTTCTCTCCTCTCTCCTCTCTCCTCCCTCCTCTCCTCCCTCCTCTCTCCTGTCTCTTCTCTCTTCTCTCCTCTCTCCTCTCTCTTCTCTCTTCTCATGCACTACACTACCACACATGGCGGGTAACCGGTCGGGAGCTTAGAGCTTGTCCCGGCTGGGGCGGTGCCCCGCCGGTGGGAGATTCCTGGTTGGGGAAACCCTCCTGGCCAACACTAGGTTGGGCCATCTATCGGGGGAAGATCACCGCCACCTCCCGAGGGGAAACATCCAATACGCTTGCGGGACTAATGACCTTAGCAGTTGATGCGCCGGGAATCACTGACAATCAATCAGCGATCCCTCCCGGGATAAGAAAACCACCCAAATTTCACTACATTCGTTTCATCATCTAGCAGTGCAAGAAGGTATCACACAGGCGATTTGAATTTAGCTCTTGCCTTCTTGCCTTAAGGCTTCAGGATCTTTTACATGCAGTAAATTTGAACATGGGACAGCCGGCTTTACTTTCTCTCCGAAGGAAAGCGTACGACGAATTTTCGCCCTTTAAAATCCACGTCTATGATCGCATCCAGGATGCGTCAAAGCATCCGCATTATTGGTGGAGGCTATTGTTTACTGCAGGCGTGCGTCCGTGCCCTTCAGCGGGCAAAATGGCAAATATCATACAATGCAGCCACGTACATTTTGGACATTAACGTGTGTTAGATGGTCGTCAGTTCTTCCTTGCGATTTTGAGCTGCAGCACTAAGTTGTGAGAGAAGAAGAGTACAGTTCATGTTAGAGAATCTTCTTCTGACGAGCCATCTTATTAATTTGGAAGAGTGATATCAAGAGTTGCTTGCCCTTGACGAAATTAGCCTCTTTTTAGGAAACAATATACGAATTTCATGATGCCCAGACGTTTCTTTAGGGTGTGAATTGCATCCTAGGAAGTCTTAATTGAGAATCAAATGTAAGAACGAAAAGAAAACTCTAATTTGAAAACAAAATAGTAACAATTGGTAATGGATGTTTTTGTACACGAGTTGTGGCTTAGTGTGGAAGAGCTCCGCTAATTTGTAGTGTTTGCTCCGCTAATTTGTAGTGAAAAACGAGTAAACATGCGAAGAAAATGTACGAGTATCTTCATAAGAAATTAGACATCTGTCCTTAATTCCAAAACTTTCATTTTAAGAGGCCTGCTGTTTAAACTACCGTTTTCCCCAAACCAACCCCAAGACCGGTTTCATTGTTCGCACATCGCGATTGCAAACACCATGCGCTTGTTTCCAACTCGCGGCGGCCACGCCCGCCGTGTCGAGGGCTAGCGGAGGGGAAGTTGGCTCGCAGGCGGCGCTGACGCCCACTTGGCGCGAGCCTTCCCGGAAAGGGGTGGGGGGCTCGCACCTTTGACCTGGCGCTCGTGGAAGCGGCCGGATGCACCCCGCCCCGCGCCCCTAGGGACGTACGATTCCTTTACAAGAATCGATTCCTGAATCGAATGGTTGGAATCGATCCTAGAATCGAATCGAAAGAAAAGAATCGATTGCGTAAGGAATCGAACAAAATGAAAACGCCGTTCAAGGCAGTTATAGATACCAAGAATCGAGCAATTACTATTTAATAGAACTAGGTGTTAATTAAAATTTTAATAACAATAATAATTAACTGATCGAAAAATTATTATTGAATTAATACAATTTAAATAAAGTAATAGAATGTATCAATGAAACAATATATTAATAGAACCAATTAAAAATATATTATATTATAACATCAATAGTATGAACTAATCAACGAAATTGTTATGGATTTTAAGAAACACTTCACTCAACGCTATCCATTTTTAAAAAAAAATTGATATGCTAAATATGTAATTTGAACCACGGATGTAGAATACAAACATGACACAGTCTTCTATTAAATTAACAATAAAGTTATAACTACATTAATAATAAAAGCAAACGTCAAAAACTCTGAAAAATATACCAAAAATACGTCGGAATATGCTTTTTAATCAATTGTAGGTATTCATTGATTCGATTCCGGCCTTTCGAATCGAATACATAGGAATCGAATCTATAGAATCGGAATGCCCTTACTCGCTCCCTTCTGTAACTGTCGCCATCCTCTATAGGAAGTGTTGGCACGGTGAAGCGGTATAGCGTAGAGTAGAGAATTGGAGAGGTTTTGCTCGGCAGAGTTAATGCATGTGCAATCGCAGAAGATCGATGTTGCGGTCGATTGTCCTAAAGTAGTGATGCGACATAGACAAGAAAACATCGATGTTTTGAAGTTTGTTTAGAAAGCTCATAACATTAAATTCGTGCGCATCAAAATCTAATTTGACAATGACCGTACTTGATTTATAAATAAAATTCTAGTTAAAAAAGGTATACGTCGTCTCTGCTTGTGCGAAATACAGGAAAGCGAAGAAAATTCCAGGCAATCAGGATCATCTCTAGTAAGGGAGAGTTGTCTGCTCGGTAAAGATGGAATAAACCGCGATCGTTTCGATCGAATAAAAACACATATTGGTAGTATCAGTTTTCGTTTCTTATTTTAACTTTAACAAAATTGTAATTATGTGCACCGTGCATCTACAAACAACATTCAAAACTTAAAAACTTCGATGTCTTTATAGAAACATCGATGTCGCATCCCTATAATATTATACTCTAAGGCTTTGCCCTAGAACAAATCCCTAGGGCCCGTTTAATTACATAACGCAAATTTTCAGTATTTTCAATACCCCCTCTCCCCCGTGTAACGCACCAACTAATACCGGCTACCCCTCGTAACGGAAACTTTGCATCGTTTTTCCTCGCCTGAAAAGTCACAATATTTGAGATACGTGTTAAAATTTAGCCATCGATATGAAAATGTAATACCTTTTGAGTTTAACACAAAAATGTGAATGGGTGGGGGCAATAGTCTCTGCAGCCCGAGGTCCTTTTCTGCAATCATCATTTTTTGGACATTTGTTTTAGCCTAAATGTGTGTTACGCTCGAGGTGTACGAATTCTACGAATTCGCACACGGTGACCAGGCGTCCCGTATCATAAATACTAGCTTCTTTAGTCCCTGTCCCGTATTATTTATACTAGCTTACTTAGTCCCTGTCCCGTATTTTTTTGAGAGGATAACGAAACGCCAAAATGTCCCATTTTTGTGACAATCGGCATAAAGTGTCAACAATTTTAATTTTATCTTAATGTTTTTCTTTCGTTTCGCATTACTTTATACAAAAAGTATTGCGAAAGTAGATCATGTACCACGTAAAAAGTGTTTCACCGTCTATTGAAACCTAAAGGGAGAGATTCAGCGACGGTTTTAGGAAGAAAAAAATGCGCAATCGTGTCTCTTGAGCTTGGCGTTATCGCTGGTGATATCGTTACCGAGAAATTCAATAATACGAAACTTCTGCAGAATTTTTCAGAAATCGTGAATTGAATTCTCGGGTTTCATTGGCAAATAATGTACCAACTTTACAAAAAGTAATTTCTACAACAAAAATCAACAAAACAAAAAAAACTTTGAAATCGACTTCTCGATATTTTTTATGTGCTATCCATATCCATTAATGGTTAAAAATTATAGCATTATTATATATAAAGTAAAAATAAAGCATTGTTTAATATTTCTTTTCGTTATGTGCATGTGGCCCAATTTGTACCTGTTGTTAGTCAAGAAATGACACAACGTCCCGCGTTGGCGCTTTTAAGTTGTGGTCACTGTGCAGTGTTGTGTTGTATGCGGACGTGTTGTGTGTGTGTGTACGCTGACGTGCTGTGTTGTGGTGACGTGTTGCAGTCGCGAGTGGGCGTATGGCACCCGTTCCCGCAGGCGGCGTTCGGCGCCGCGCCCTACGGCGCCTCCGCCCACGACGCCAACGGTGAGTGCCCTTCCTCCAGCAGATGCAGAACGAAGTGGATGTAAAGCAACCGGATTGTCGTATCCCTCCGCCGAAACGCGTGCTCTGAGCTGTCGACGCTGGCGTTCAAAGCGTTGCGCAATTCCGTTGTCCAATGGCGTAGCGTGGGTATCAGCCGCCCGGGGCGGGGGATATTTCGTCGCCACCTTACTTCGGTATTTCAATTTCAAAGACTAAAATATACAAGATTGTACAACGCAGCACATAACCAAACATACAAGTTAATAAATAAAAAACGCAAATGAAATATTTAATACATGGCCGAATGTACACGTATATGAACAACACAATTTTCGAAAATGTTCAATAATTTAACAATCACTACACGCACTTATGAGCACTAAAGTCACTGTTAGGAAAGTGCATTTATAAAAGATTAATTTAATGTGAATCGGATCCATCAAATGAAACTCTTTGAATTGCCAAAGTGTCACTCGTGGATTTCCTGGAGGGACTTCGTAGTGTAATCTAATTTGCAGGTACACTATCCTATATGTGAGAGAAGTAATTAACGTTTAATATAATAAACAATTCAAACAAAATAAAATAATGGGTAATCCCTACAAATCAGTAAAGATGGTGTTGCCAGTAGCTACAATGATCAAGATGTCATTATTATACATTCATTTAGAAGAAGTCGTTACAGAATAAGTCATACCATGCTCATTTCAATCGATTAGAATCGTCGGTGCGACAAAAATATGAAATAAAATGGTACAAATTATTATTATTATTATTTAGTGTATAATTTTGCCGTAATCTAAAAGTGCTGCCCCTGCCGCCCCCACTACGCTTGGCTACTGCCCTTATCTATCGGAAAGTGAAGGACGCGCAAGAGAAACTAACTGCTTCATAATTCGGTATAGAGATCATTGCACTCGAAAGGATAATAATGTATTTACTCGTCGTATTATTTCTACAGTTTTTGCACTCTACAAAAACGCAGGCAGGTCATGATGCATATTGTGACGTAGTGAAATAAGAAATAAATTTCAATAACAAAATAAAAATAATATATTCAAAGATTATTTACAAGTTACAATGAAATTGCTAAATATTAAAATACTCCGGCAACCTTTTCCTTTCAGAACACTGCTACCGCAGAAACACAAGCCACGCGTGATGCGCGCTACCGGACCTCGGTCCCGTGACAATTACCGTCACATGGCCTGACGCCAAAATTTAACCCGGTCGTGGCGACGTCGGTGCCTACAGCACGTGAGATTGTCTGGCCTTACTCTCGGGAATCTCGCCCACACTCCTACACTCCTCGTACACACGTACAAGCTCCCCGTGCTAACTGAATGAGAACGCGGGCGCAAGATGGGCGCCGCGTTAAATAGTTGAGGCTGACACCCCCACCACTGTTCCATAGGTAGGCTCGCGGCTGGCGCGAGACTCGCAGGTTTGGTTAACGCCCACACACAGGGTCTTAGGTTGGCGCCTGCTTTCCGTAAACGAGGCTCGCCGGCAGCATCCTCCGAGTTTACAGCCTCCGGTATTTTTGGTCTGCGCACTACCTGAGTCAACCGCCCGAGCGCAAACTCCCGATGTTCAGGCTCACCCCTTCCTCCCCGCAGCGTACTTTCACCGACCTTACGGTTCTGGCGTCGTGTTAACGACGCCACAATATGACATTGATTTTACTTCCCTTTATAGTTACTATTTACGGAGTAATAATCGTAATATAGGGTAAGTTAGTATGTAATGCTGTGGAAAATCGATTTCGAGATTTCAACGGAAATACTCGTTTTGGGGTTACCTGATATCGAAAAAGGTTTTTTTTTTTGTTTTGAATTTTATTCGAGGTCTTCTTACAACAAAACACTTAAAGTTGGAGATTTTTTCTTCATACAAAATTTCTTGTACATAATTTGTTCTTTCATTAAGGTTATATATATATTTCGCACAAAATTGCGTGCATTTTGTGCAATTTAAGGAAAAAATAAATATTTTCTAAAAAAACGGCTTCAAATTTTTTCATCAAACTTTTGGTAGGATAGTGCTAAATGTACTCTATTAGATGACATAAAAGCCATATTGCTCTATTCTTTTATTTTTTCAAAAATTACAAAAACGTTTTTTTTTGTCTTATTTTCTCATTCGTTAATATTCATATTAGCGGTAATTTGTTCTCAATATTGTATTTATGAGTGCATGTGCTTTAAATAATGTCACACAAAGGTTCTCGAAAACTCCACAGTTTTTTGTGAAAACTAGCTCAAAATTCGGCAATTTCAGGAACTCTCAGACTCAATTTTCTCAAAAGCGTCTCGAAGAAACGAAAATATTTTCTTCAATCATTTCAAACGGATAGTGATAATTGCACTCTTTAATGTGACTTGAAGTTATTTTCGTTGTACTTGTTTGTTTTTTTCAAAAATTGCAGAAATGTATATTTTTTTAAAGATATCTCGTATCGTTGATATGCACATTTCCAATTTGTAATCACTTAAGTATTTGAGTTAAAGTACACAATGACTTCAAATAAAGTTTCTTCAAAACTCAAATTTTCTGTGAAAAAGAGCTTCAAATGTCGAAGATACAGTAGCGCTTAAGCGCCCGACGGCTCCAAATTTTTCAAAGAAAATACCCATTTAGTCCTGTTTTACTGTTCTTTACTAATCTTTAAAAGTATTTTTACTCTATAATTAGGAAAGCGGAAAATTAAGAAAATAATTGAGGCGGTGATAGAAGAGCTGGCAAGAGAATGTGGCGTGTGTTGAGTAGTTAGCCGAGACTAAAGAAAATAGATAACTACTACGGGAAAGTCTGTGCCATTCTGTAGCACCACTTGCGTCACATGTAAGGTGAGAATTGGTATAGAAGTGCATTTATCTATCATTGATTTAACTTGAAATTATTCGTTATTTATATATATAAAGAAAAAAACCCACCCGCATTCTCGATCTTGACAATGGCTTTATTGTCTATCAATTGCAAGTTCCGCATTCTTCTTGCGTAATGAATTGCTTATGTTTAAAATAGCAGTTGTGATGCCACGATTTATCGGCTTTTCTCGCGAATGTTTTACGATTTCAGGCATTGGCGGCTATGGAGTTGATTGCTCAGTCATGGCATTTTAAGAGACAAATGCCCTACCCAGAATACACCAAATAGATACGCCTCGCTCACAATCGCATACCCACGATTATAAACAACTCATCTTGACACTGTACTGCTAGTTTCGTTTACACTTATTCATTCTGCACCATTCTCAACAGTTTCACAAAAGGAATGCGGTCTGCTATTACATCGAAACTTTTTCAATAGTTCTCTTCGTTTACTTCTCTTGTTTGAAGTAATACATAACATGTAATGTAAATTCACACTTATTGGAGACGCTTAAATCTCAATTCCTACTTTTTTTTCAAACATGTACTTGAATTCCTGGAACTATTTTATTATGCGTGTTCTTCGAAAATCCGAGGACGAATTTGTATCGACGACTTGCAGTCAATCTGCCTCTGCCTGCCGACGTGGCAATGTTTACATCCACTTCGCTCATTCGATAAAGAATACGCATCTTAAGCACGAAAGGATTTCGTATTGATTATTCGGTTTCCGGGTGCGTCAATTGCTGGGTCCATTAGTCCCGTACGTGTAATGCACGTTATCCAGAAAAGGTAACTGTTCCTTCTCCGCAAGTATTTGAGTTCACGCGCCGATCTTCACACGTAGGCTGTGGGTGTTACAAACTTCCGGGTATCTCCATCAGTGGAGCATCTCAATAAAATAAATGTTTGTTTTCATGTATGCATATATGCATGAATGTACGTGTGTAATATATAAAAATCGGAAGCTTATAGGAAGGCAACAAGAATCAACCTCCCAGCAACTACGCCCGTTTTGAGGTTGGGGCTATGAATCTTCCAAGATCCTAGGCATTACCGCATTACACACTCTATAAAGGCGGCTCCACATATTCGGCATTCGTCGAGCAGAGAGCTAGTGCTCGATCAATCCCGAACAGCTGATGTGTTCGGTGAATGTTCGCTCCCTTTGATGTGTCTTAAAAGACCGACGCGCGGTGGGTAGGGCGAATACCGTACGTTCGGCGCTCGGCGAATCGCAAGCAACCCGTCCACACTACTCGGGATTAGCCGAACGTCGCATGTGTGGAGCCGCCGTAACAAGAAAACTCTTCCACGGGCGGGAACATTCCATTTCGCAAACGAGACGCTCAAATCTTTGTACAATATTGCTCCCATGCTCTCTCACGCACGCCTTCAGCGGAGTTATTGCTACGCTGTCTTCTTTCACACGATACAAGACTGTTGTATTATGTTGTCTCAGTCTTCTGATACAGACAGTTATTTTTCTAACTTGGATTTGCATAGGAACTCATTGGCATTTGCTTACGATGAAAATTCGAGGTTAACATGATTGGCAAATAATAATAATAATAACAACAATAAAAATAGTGGCGAGACAAACTACTCCATGGGCGATATTTAAAAAGAATGGACCAGGTGCAGATCGTCAAAGATCAATTGTTTATTCGATTTAAAAGGGCAAGAATGAAACCAGAATCGGAAGAACTTGTAATAGCCCCAAGATCAGGCGTTGCGAACACAATACGATAGAGGTTTTCTAAATTTCCCAGGATAATAAATGCCGCATTTGCCAGGAACAAGTAAAAAACATTTATTTATTCCATTTATTTTTTTTATTTATTTACGTCAAAAACAGTTGTGTGTGACGTGCTATTGGGAGAAGTTAATTTGAAGTTGCATTTATGTCCAAAAGCAAAACAAGGGGCCATCTAAGTATTTGCTAATGGATCAGAGAAACTGGGCGAAAACCTGATCGAGATGGAGGTCCTAGACCAAGAAGGTTAAGTACAATACTTGTTACAGGGTCTTTCGAATTATACAATCCTAATGGTAAATAATACACTAAATGCCCATTTGCAAACTATTTCCATTGGAAATAATATTTAGAGAAAATAAAATAATCAG